TAATTTTTGAATTTGAATAACTTCAACTTCAAGTTGGTATGACACAACTTTCTCGGCAAATGAGTAAATTGATGACGAGCGTCATCGACGGGTACAAAACGGAAAGTTGTGGAGAAATTTTCCGTAAGCAAAAAAATTTCATTTTCAAATTATTGATTGGATTCATTGATTCTTCGAGGTTGCGCTTGGGAACGCTGCACTGAATTAGTGAACAGACTATTTGGAGGTTTTGTAATAATTGCTGACATCACTTTGCTGCCTAAATTTGTGCAGAAGAGCATTATTGCATCTCATGTTAACGTAATTGTCAATGTTGTTATCGTGTGCATCGTCATCGTGAGCGAAATGTCGTTCACTATGCCAAGGATTTCTAGAGAACATTCTCTGTTCAGTATGGCGTTGATTCATTTGCGTGTGATTCGGAATCGGCCAACGATTCGCGTTTTACAATTGATTGATCCTGTGCAGTGTTTGCAAAAACTCTTTCGTTGTTATTCAGGCAAACTGAGTGTCAATTCTGCAGGGTAAAGGCGTGCTGGAGAAGTTGTGGCTCATTGCACAGGAATAAAGAAAGATATNTCATATGGACTTCATTCACTGTCAACTGAATCGACTAAACGAAAAACGTTTGGTTTACCTGACCTCGATCAACGAAATGCGAGGTCGTGTTGAGATATTTACGGTGGCGAGATCAGAACGAAACGTTATATACTGATAACACATTTATTTGAGCAAACTGTGGTGATATAACTTATTGAAGTTTTTCAAAATTTTAAACAGAAATCAATTTCGTTGTATAATACATGAGATCAGAATCGACAGTAAAATGAGATCATGAAATTGGAAGCATTCACATTCAGTGGCGGGAACATCTTAACAAGAGATTCTCTACGAATGGTTTGAGAAAACAGGAGATTCGCTGCACACACAGAATCAGAAGAACGGGATGTTATATATGAATGCTGACATCATATAAATGCTGTTAGCTGTTGTCAAACCGTGCACTGATTTGATGTTCATAGGAAACGAAATGAATGACAGCCTGGTTAGATCATGATTAACCAGGCAGCATTTTTCTTGTAAAAGAAGGCATTCTTGCAAACATTTTTTTTTTTGAATTTATGAGCGATTTTTTAAAAGTGTTACGATTAGACAATCGTGCCACTTCTAAAAATACTCGCTTTAACGGATGACCGTGATGAGTGACACCTTAGATAAAGCCGTAGAACATGACGTATCTTCGGACTTGATAGTGTATACAGGAGGGGATTAATCGCTGAACTGAGGTAGTTCAACCAAATCGAGAACAGATATAGTTTGTCGGGAACGCACTCACTGAAATTCATTAAAAAAACATCTTTGCACAATTCATCGTGCTTGTAAATTGTTTTATCCGATGAAAGTACGATACGAGCATTTCCATCATAAAACTACTCAGTTGATCGTAATGAATGTCATGCTATGGCAGTGGTTCTCATAGGGGGTGAAATTACCTATTTTGGGTAATTTGGAGATCTCGTGAGGGAGGGATAACGAAGGGGATCGGGAAATTAATATTTCGTGCACTCGTGGCTCGCTCATGGAAACACTCGTTTTTAACCTATTTTCTGAGCATCTTTAGTTCGTCTAGGTTTGAAAAAAAGTCAGTTTGAAGAAGTTACAAATATCTCGTAAGTGCTCTAATATATTTGCTGGCATCGTCTCGCGTCAGCAATAAGAATTGATTGAGCTCTTTGGTATGACAGAAAAAATCATTGGCTTGATGTTGCACGATCGAATATTTCTGAATTTGATGATATCGATTTCCTTTTTCAGTTTTAGCAATTTCTAATTCTTCAATCGCTTATGAATGCTCTTTTAACCGGTATAATACTTCTTCCGTGATGAACGACAGCATTTCTTATGATGTTAATGAATTGAACGCTTGAAAAGTAGAATGGGAATTTCAGATTTATTTTTCAGATTTATGCACCTTTTGCATCTCAAAACCCTCGATAGTTCGGATTTATTTTCATCCCCCCGATGAATTTTTACTTATTCATTAACCATCATTTTGATGAAATGATTGCTTTCCCGTTCATCTCGAAGATATTTCCTGAAACGTTTATTGCATCCTCCTTCTTCATGAATAATTGAACTTGTTATTATATTTCATTTTTTATCGCTGAATAATCTTTTTTCATTACTTTTTGTTTTTGACTGCCGACTTTCATACTGCTTCTGCAGTGGAAAAAAATGAAGTTCCAAAAATACTTGTTTTGTTTCAGAAAATTAATTTATTTCACGCCACTCAGGAATTTCCGGACCGGTTTTCCTTTTGTTCCCGACGTTATACGTCGAAATTGTAAGTTTTTGCATCAGAAGGGGAAGAGGGTAGCGGCGGCATGCCAGATTATCAAAATGGGTAATGAAGCACCCGACCGTGAGAACCACTGTGCTATGGGATGAATGTCGCATCATCGTTTCTTTTATGAACCTGTTGCATTGCAAAAAAAAAAACGAGCAACATACCTGCAAAATAGTTTGAGCGGCCAAAGAACAAGAAAGGGCACCCAACATATCACAAAGCTACAAAGAATCAAGGCTACAGCTTTTGCAGCTCGAACCTGAAAAAATTTTCTATGGTGAGATATCTCACAATGACGGTGACACGTACTGGTTGAATGAAGGTCTGGCTGAAGAAAAGTTCATGACGAGTTCCGTCTCATTAATCTAATGTCGACGGTATAGAGGTGGTAATGGAATAAACCCATTTTCAGAGCAGCATCAGTGAGAATATGCACAAACCTGTCTCGAAACGTTTTCTCTCTGAAGAATTTCTGCAAGATTGGTCGGATTTAGAAGCACACTGAGACGAGACGATTCAATACGTTTTAATGTTGACAGCCTGAAAATGTCTCGATAAAGTTAGTTAGGAGCAGATTGATCGGTCATTCGATCAAGTTATTGACCAACAAATACGTCATTCTCATACCTCCTCAGATGACGATGCATACCGTTAGCAACAGATCCTGTTTCTAAATTAGCCAATGAACGACCTGAAGTGTCATGTTGCTGAAAAATAAAACTGAAAAATAAAAGATTGTTCATTGAAATAGTCTGGCACATAATTACGACCAGATCAGTCTATGAGATGCTTGTTCAGATGACGATATTTGTTCGAAATGACGTTTGATTGATGTCAATGATATTTGCTTCGATATGAATTCACAATTATCTTACGAACAAACGATCGAATGAAATTGAGAGGCATCCGTGTGAATTATGCATACCACGTGTGTTTGCATTCCCTTTAACTCATATATTCCCACTGGTCGAAGCAAAAAGCTTGAGAAAATGAATGCACATTTCGATAATCCATTGACGTATAGTCGGAAATGCAGTTTGAATTAGTGATTGATGTTTACTGTGAAATCAGCGGTAATCAGTTACTAATCGTAAGTATAAAAGTATGAGATCGCTGAAGGAATACCAGTGGTGGTGATTCAGGTNTCGAATTTGCTCACTTTTTCAGCTCTGACGAATGCGAGAACTGAGATGGAAACCTGTAGTTGATCGATCTGTTCATTGTGAAGTTGAATTTGCTCAGAGTGACTGCGATCTCGTCCACTGCTAATCTCTTCACTCAACGGTGCTAAATTCCATTCGAATTTAGGTACTCGCGAAGATGGACTCCTGGGTGTTCGAGTGTTTGGAGTGCCATAACCTGCAACCTGCACGTCCTCACGAGAAGAACTCATCGAGGATCATGCAAGGCCCGTGTAGTTCTGGTTTTCATAACGATGGTTGAGAATATTAATGGTATATACGTATTGGGATGACAAATTATTGCATGAAAAAAGTGGAACTCTAAAAAGTTCTCAGCTCGGAAGGAAAACTTTTGCTTTGAACGATCTGTGTGAAATTTAACTCAAAAATAATTGATTTGAAAGATCACTGAATCAAACTTTCTTCCGTCCAATGTGCAGTCATTCACCAATTTCGATATTCGAATTTTTCCTGGTCCCCCTCTTCGAAGTCGTGTAGTTTTGATTGAAAACAACTCCTGCATAATTTTCTCTAGGCGAATTAAACTGAAAGCTTGTGCCGTCTGCATTGTGCCTTACAATTAGATAACCCAGAAATCCAATGATCGTTCAAACCAATTTCTTCAGAGCAAATCATTATACGGGTCATTTCTGTTCCGAGTCCCAATATCCAAAATTTCGATGTGCAAAGAAATTTGCCTTTCCTAGGTATATATGTATGTTGAAAGGTATAAATATGAGTGTAATAATATGTGTGAAACGTCAGAGTGGAACTGTGAACAGCGGTGGAAATGCATAAATATTTTGAATAGAGTGATGTGCATAGTGAATAGCGCAGAGCGTAGTTGCGCTGCTATCGTGTGAAATGTGAGGGATCAGTAACTAAGGCGTGATGATGACTTGTATATACAGTAAGGGACGTAATGCCTAGCCGGGATCACACACCGGGTTTGTGCGGAATTCATTCGCTGAACGCTTAGTTTTCACGTTTGATGCCGGTACCGTCACTTTCAAAAATGATGGGTTCAACAGTCTGACGTTTGATTATACCCGAAATCTGACTGAAGATTGCCCAAACAACAACTCAGCTTTTGACTGGAGATATTCAGCTTTAATTCACGCCGAAATTGAGCGAACAGCAAACAAACGCCCTTTCCAATTTAATTTCACTACTTTGTTCGAACCACAAAGTCGCAATGATTGTGTCGTTTGTGAGGTACTGTGTGTATTGTATCTCTTCTATTCGTGTCTCTGCGTTCACAGCTGATTGAATTGATCACCAGTTAGATCCGGGCGAGGATCAATGAAAAGTTTCGTAAACTTTATCAAACACAACACAACCAACCTGACGTGACTGTATTGTTCAGATTACTATCGGTGAATTTGCGAATGAGCTCAGGAGTTCTCAGTGGGGTTCCTTCATGCGATCTACACATCGAATTTGATGCGGATGGTAGTGCCATATCAGTAGGCGGTGAGCCAATTGATTTCATCGATTTGGTGGAGTGTTCGCGAAGGAATTTCAAATGGTTACGAACAACAAGTGAAATTCTTATGAACATTGCGATCTGAATACGGAGCGATTTGTATGTGAAATGTGATGAAAAATTCATATCTATCTGTATACTGTCGTTATCACTCAAACAGAATTACATCCAATGATTCGTTGAACATTTGAGTGGATGTAGTCCTGTTTTTTTATTTCAATTCGAAATTTTTTCTAAGTTTTCTTCGAACTTCGCATTTTTGAAAAAACCACTCTAAAAACAGTTACATTAGGCGACCGTACCAATGTTATAGCGGGGATGTAGAGAAGAGGTACGGCAACGATTGGTACTATGTATTTATTGCTCCATATTGTGTAGTAACCAGTAGAGTTTATTTGCTGAATGCGAACAATTCGTTCGGAAAGTCTTCGCATTGCGTCGTTTTTATTGACGTGTTTTGTCATTGTGAAATATACAGTCGTCCATGCCGTCATCGGAATCACCCATATGCTGAATATAAGACGCTTTGCGATTCTTCGGTTACGTTTAAATACTCGCAGTGGCTTCTCCTAAATTGGTAACGCAATTAGAGCACTGAATCAACGATGTTTTTTTGATGGTGTAATATTGAGCAATGGGCAGTAGAGTGATTGAATCATTGGCAAATAATTTGGACAGGTGTCGTTTCATTTGGTAATTTGAATTTTTCATCAAAGTCATTCACTTCTCGTTTCATAGTAACGCATATAAATTTGTTATTTGCAGAGCGAAAGATTGTTAATTTAGGGTATTCTGCGATTCTTTCGCAAACAGTTGCAAGTAAAGAAAAGCGATGACCAGATTCCATAACCGATCCAACGCTATCGCACATACTGAATACAGTGAAGTTGTCGACAGAATAATATCACAAAGTTGCCAAACGTCACAGAGCCACGTGCAAGCAAAAAAATAATCAACTCTGAATAATTGAGATATTAAGTAACGAAAATTCCTTAAGAAATTGATTTGGCGTATGAAATCAAAAATGGTCCTCCAAAAAAGAAATCTTATTTCGGATTCCTATAGTCACAACAAATTTTCGATTTCTTTATCGATTCGGTGTAGCATTTTGGCCAGCCAGCCAAAGGATTTGCTTGATAAGAATGCTCGGTTGTTCTTGCAAAATACGAGATTCAGCAAAATACTCACTCCATTGCGATTGATTAATTTTAACCTCAGTAAACTATGGAAGATTATGCATGAGGTTAACACACATACCTAATTACGAAGAGATGAACGGCCATAATGACTATAACGATGAGACCAATTAATAGGTCAGCGAAACTCAAGTTGAGAACGTACAAATTCGAGACTGAACTATGCAATTGGCGATGTCGAATGACCAGAAAAATGGTAAGCATATTTGCGAATATCGTGAACACAGCTGTGAATCCAGTTACAGCCATCGCTCCATAATGGGCGAGTGTCATGAATGCGATCACATGGGCGTTCTGCAATGAAATTTTATGGATGCTGATCAATAAATCACCGTAGATGACATTGAACGAAAGAAAATTTGAACGGCTCAGTGAGAGGAGAAGTGGCAGTGCTCACTGCAGTCATCACTTACGTGTCCCACGGCCAGAGATTCTCTGAGATCTCAATTTCTTCATTTTCATTTCCATATCTCTGAGATCAATTCTTTCTTCTCATATCATAAATGCAATGACAAAATGCTTTGAATTGAGAACAGCTTTCAAACTTGCATTTTTCACTTTGTATTATATTTCTGTGTTGATTCCAAAAGCTAACAGCATCAACACTTTCATTAAGAACACAGATTGTAAAATGTGACATCAATTTTTTCTCGGACAGTAAGTCAACCATCCCATGAAAGGTCAGATTGATTGAATGATTCTTTTTTCATTCAAGTCATGTCGAAATTGTAAAGAATCACATAGAAACAGAAACTCGAAGCAGAATGACATTCAAAAATCATTTCAAATAATGTTCAATACCTGATAATCAATTCCGTCCGATGCATTGCTCTCATAAAACAAATGACGGGACTCTGCTGGCAAGAGTCTCATTTGTTCAGTAAATCCAGGTCAGTGACAGCTGCAAACATCGAATTAAGTTAGAATAAAATAGGTCTCATTTGCGTGAAAGACCAGAGAAAGCGTCTCATTCAATGTGTTATTGCTGGTGTAGTATTTTTCTCATTCACGCGAGATAATGAGCGAACTCGCATTAACATATGGAGATAATATCAAGTGAAAGCGTGAAAGTATTCAGAGGAATCATTGCAACTTGTTTCTCATCGATACCTCATTGAATGACAAGATAAGGTCGATAACTATCCAAGATGAACGTTGCACCGCACTTTATATTGTTGGCCCAGCTTTGCTATCCCAATCAAAATGGCATGACAATGTATCAGGTATCATCAGTCTCTTCATTTCAATCACGACATGCTACTCTTTCAACTAGGGACCCCAAGATTTTTTTCTGCAGGAATATTCAAAGATTGAATCTATTGGTGACAGATTTCTGAAAAAATTACGATATATGACTTTTGCGGCGAAATAAATGCGATCGATAGTTGGTTCGATACGTGACGCTCCAAGATTATTGGAAATATGTAAATTAGAAGGTTTATGAATTACTGCTTAGAGCACAGGTGAGAAATTTCCTTGCGGAAAAATATTTGTGAGGGTTACGAGTTGATTGATTATCTAAACGAATTTCTTACACAAATTATTTATAGTACTTTCTTAGTACATATGTGAACAAGGAAACTGATTCCACTTTACACGATCGCCGAATTTTTGACAGGAGATTTCTTGATTATGGGATCAATTTCTGGATTTTCTACTGATTTGTTATCGAAATATAATAGAGAGCCTGAGAATCACTGGTTTAGAGTCATAGTTTAATTTAACGACTTCATGAAGCAGAGTAGAATTGCAATTTTTATCCTCGAACTGCTTTTCCTTACAAAGCTCATTCTTATTGCAGATGTTGAGAAGTCAATTCATTGAACACAGCTTGATGTGGCCAAATCAGGCAAAAGAAGAATTGAAAAGGAACAGTTCAGTTTCATGAGCTGAAACAGTGTAAATGAAAGTATTCACTGTTCGTGTGCGCGTTGATGGAAAAAACAAGATGCGCATTTATCTCATCGCTCATCTTCCACCAACACCGTTCACTAAAGACAACGATAATCACTTGTCGAATATATTTTTCGTCTGTGAGATACTAATTATGCTGCTCAAAAACAGTAGAGTAGTGATGTGGACCTGAGGAAAGATCATAACTTCCAGAAAAAAACTAAAAACTCTTCAATTAAAATTCGACAGGATTCATTTTCGCAGTTTCGAAATCCGGTTATAGTGAACAAATTCCGAATTCTTCTCGTGAAAGGCGACTTGTAAATTCCAGAAAGTGATTATTGACAGGTGGAAAAATTATCGTGATGTTGATGCTAATGCTCAGCAAAATTGTGAACGACCGAAATTTCAGTAGAGTTAGATGAGTGAGTGTTCATGCTAATGCTCAAGCCACAAAGTCCGTGTCCTAGAAGC